ATAATCTCACTGAACGGCGAAATTAAAACAGATTAGCTTTAGTTTCAGGATTTCATTCCAGTCTAAATGAAATAAAAGCTTCAACAAATACTTTTTTATGTTTCGTTTTTTGGGTTTTTATGCGAAAATAATAATGATCAGTGCGCTTTCAAGCAGATTACGAATTATTTTTGCAGAATGCACATTTATTCCTTGAAGTGTACTTATTTTGCACTATGGGTGGTTGCCATGCACTCGACATCCACTCCCCGATGTATTAATACAACCTCATTATATTTAAAACCCCGGCGAGTTGGAAAACAGCTTTGAAGAAATAGTCGGTAAATGCTTTCGTTCTCCAGACAACAGCTAGCCATCTAACCAACCAGCAGGAGCAGAACGAAAGCACCAGCCGCTCGAATCTAAATCTTTAAATGAGCTTGCTCGCGTACAAAGGTAAAGCGTGGAAAATCGTCATGAAAGTTTACCGTGCGCTGAAGCTAATAAAAGTAAAAATCTTAAGCGCGCATATTATTCTGGACGTGCGAATCGCTCTCGCGCGCTGGAATCCGCGGCCTTTTGCGTTTGCTTTTATGACTCGCGACGATGTTACGACGCTCGCAAACTGATCGGTTATGAAAAAAACTGAAAGCGCTTCGCAAGTGCCCGTCCTCGAGTGCTTAAGGACTGATTAATAACGATAATCGACGAGATGAGTGGCGATAATTTTCGATTTACGAGTTTTATATGTTTAATAAACGGTTATTAGTGGATTTAAACGCAGACACTTTTCATTCTTAAAGTGGACATTGAAAATAAATTGAAAATAGTAGTAAATATGCATTTAAATTTTAAAATCTCTTAAAAATTAATGTGATGCGTAAAATTTATCTAAGTATTTTTAGGCATATAATTCTATTCATTTCCTTTATTATTAAACTGTCAAAATCAATAATAGTCCTGTCCGTTTTGAGCAATTGCATTAGCAATACCTCGTCGCCATCAGCGACATCCTAGAAACCCGTGTTCCTTCTACTTGCAACTTGGCAGCCAGTGCCAATAAAATTAACAACTTGCAGACTTCAACGTCGGCTCCGACATAGAATGTCGATGTACTTCACTCGGTAGCAGATATTATCCGGATACTTTGGATCCATCAGCCTCAATCAACTCTACATCGGTATGCGATGCGTTCTCGAACACTGGTGCGCGCGGCAACATGTGCAAGAAGTGTTTTGCCAGGTCTGGTTTCCAGCCGCCGCCGCCGCGTGCGCCCGTAAGTGGATTGAGTGGCACACCGCACTAACCATAATTACTCATTAATCATATAACGGCCTTTATTAAATTACTGGCCATTGATGCATTAACACCAGCGGCTGTTCCGAGTGCAAGTATTGGAGTTATGACCACCGCGTGAAACCGTGTGTGTTATATGTAATGCTATACTGAAATGAGGCAATGGGAGGTGACGCGATTCGATGGATATTGATGAGCGCATCGTGCCATCCGCCATGCTCGTAAATACACGTCGGGATGTTGTTAATTTGCCATCTGAACAAAATGGATTGATGAATTTCATCGTGTGGATAGACATGTAGGATTACGTAATTATCTCATTCGGAAATTTTCACATAATGCGAAATTTTCCCATTTCTATTAGTGACCCACACATGACCCAACTTTGTGGTAATAGTAGAAACTCTTGTAACTAGCAATTGTAGCCATTGCGAGCCAGTGGCTGTCTAGTGTAATACTATAGCATCATAGTCCTGCAGTCCTTTCACATCTGATATTGTCGTGTCGACTCGTGTCCGTCGGGCGTCCCTTAATTTATATGTAAAACAACTAGTCCAATGTGAAACACATCAGATGGTACACTCGATTATGTTCACACGACTAGATTTAATAGTCGGCTTCGCTGCCACTGCCAGGGACTCATAAAGCAAAGCCAAAGCCACCGGTCACACTACTACACTACATTCTTGCAAAGTCCAGTCTGGTCGATTTCAATGTTTGCTATACTAATGAGAAAACGTGAAACCTTATTTCTTCGAATTTTATTTCATGAAAACTAAATTTTTAACACAGAAAATTATAGAATCTGTTACATTTCTGACATTTGACTTTATGTTACAGTTTCACATAAAATCTTTCACACATTTCTTCAACTTGCCTACGAATTATTCGCTTATTTCAATTCCCACTTCTATTTATGCGCACGTATTTCCATTCACAACATGAAGACAGATTGACGTCGAGCATGTGTGCGCGCGCAACGACGCAATTTCACACTTAATTTAATGAAGGTGCAAATTATTCATGCGCCGTGCGAAATGACACGTGCATTCGTCTCGTGCGCGCAGACTTTGCTGGAAATGGTCGCACGCGCCATGTGCGTACGGACCAAACACAACCAAGTGATCATTCAAGAGTCTCTAAACTCAGACAAGAGTCAACATACATACACGAAGACGATGTGAATTATGCCAAAAGGTAAAATATAATATTATTTTTGATGGAAGGAGACATGGAACACCTGGTATTAGGTAGCTTTGGTCATACCCTTAGTTTAAGGGCCAACCGGTATATCTAGATATGAACTATTCCATACTGGTTTATTTTTTCCTCCCGTAACACCAAAGTTGAAACTCTCTAACAAGACTTATTGTTCCGCACGAGCCACGATCACCTCCTATCGAGCTGTATCTATATCTCGCTTCCCATTCGAATTCAACCGGGGAGGTTGGATGCTGAATGTTTCACCTCTGGCGGATGCAGCGATATCACCTACCGTGCAAACAGATGGCCACGCAGCGCACGCAACTGCGAGAAGCATCAGATAACAATGTTATTGTTATGCGCATAAAAAGATGTGAATATGTGAATATAAATTTATAATGCAGCAGAATGGACCAAAAGGCGCACAGAAAGGGCTAAATATCCAGAAAACAAACAAATAATCGAGTTAGAAAAACTGTTCAAACACTAAATTAGATTAAAATTATAAACGACTACTATGATATTAAAAAATTATACAGAGTGTACGCATAATATATTTACATCATGTAATCCCATATTGTAGTTAGTTTTCTGTTTGTATTCGCAACAGAATTCATGTCACGTTTTCACTACGCGTATCTCCAATGATCTGCACTGATCAGTCGGATAATTCCAATGTTGTTCCAAGCGCATGGCATCGCAATGTTCGAATCGTTCGATAAATGTCGAAAGCACCTGTCCACGCCGCATCAGCATGCCTCGTTAATTATACGCCTTATTAAATAATAAAATTAATTAAGCGCAAAGAATCTACATCTCGTAAACGTAATTACGCATAATTATCGGAGCAAAGTCCAGGCGAACAACATAACGTAGAAACTAGCTCTACTCTCAGATGTTGACGACAACTTGTTAAAGGATTTAACACTGAAACATTTCATTAATTTCATTCGTCGCTTGTAGTTTTTATTCATTCGTTTGTGTTTAATGTTTCTCGGTATGAGGTATCGTATAATAAATGTAATTAATTATTTGGTTAAGGCTTTTTGGGCATTAATTAAAAAGAATAAAATGTACAGGACATGATTAAAGAAATTATAAAAATTAATCGGTATGACATATTATTATTTTTATGTAATCCACCCAATAAACATCTCGCTTTGGCGGATAAAAGGGTTGAAGCATAAAAAATCATTTTTGTGAAGTGGCACTCGTGCGTTTGCTGCGGTGTGGAGTATGTGAGAACGTGAAAAAGCTTGCTCTCGCCTCGTTCGGTCCTCGCCATATGGGAGGGTTCTAATTACCACATCCATAAAATACGGGAACACAAAAACCTAATTAGGCACGTATTTGTTCCCAACTCGCGCGCCAAACGAACTCATGCGCTGCCCCAAAACGAGGGCGAGAATGAGCAAGAATGCACAAACGAGCAGCGCAGAGAAGTGAGCCTGGGATAAGAGAAATTGTTCTGTACCAGCGAAGGCAATAAACGGCTCAGGCTAAACTCGGGGTAGTCAGGGTGCATCGGCGCGGAAAGCCAGAGAGGGCCAGCAAGAAAGAAGAAAAAGAAAAAACTTTGGGAGTTGCGAGTTGGAGTTATTTTCACACCCCGAATGCAACCATACAACATTCAAATATACAACACCTAGGACAAGACAAGAGCAATGAAACGCAAAGCAAAGAAACATCGAGATAAAACAAAAAAGTTAAATTTGTGAAGTTGTTTTCCGGTTGTGTAGACAAAAGCCCGTATCTCAATTTTTCGGTTTGCTCGTTTAGAAATGCGAATTACGAACGCAAATGAAGGGAAAACAATGTTACAAAGTGCCCACACAATACAATTCTTTACCGAATGCGTACAATTCAAGAATAGCAAGAATTTTAATTCAAATGTACTAACAAGGATTAATTTAATTTTAAAAAACAAATTATTGAAATTATTTCTACCTTCAATAAATATATAGCTGTCATCAATTGCTGTCAAATGTCACCAATATAATTCAAACCCAATTCTACATTTCCATCTCGATTTATTTTATTTCCTTTATATTATGTTCTTGGTCTCTCGCATATGTATTTCTTGGGGCATATCATGAAATAGACATTTCACCTTTGTAACATTAAATTCATTTTCCTTTCGCTATAATATTACGAAAAATTCTATATGTTCAAATATCGGAAAATGAGATAGTTTTCATATTCATCAAATGAAAATATGGCTATGTTCTTTTATGTTTTTGATTTGAATAGATAACTCGATTTTTCATTAAATTATATGAATGAATAGTATTTCTGGTTGTATAAATTTAAAAGAAGACTAAATAAAGATCTTGAACAGGTAAATAACGTGCCGCATTTGTGCACACCTTCTACGCAAAACACAATGCACTTGAGTCGCATGTTTGTTGTCATAAAGGTAACAAAACTGGTTTGCCGAATTATCAACAATGCAGTTATCAATTGAAGCAAATATTTCTACCTGCATCGCAACAAAATATTTCGAATATATTTTAATTATTTACCTGTTGGACAAATGCACTCCGGAGCATCCCTGGTCTCAACCCGATGCCGAAGCTGAGTATCGCGAGCAACCCTCGCGGCACGCGCGACGCTGCGTTCCTCGACGTCGCGACGCATCCTCGCCATCAGCACGCCGATATCCTCGCCGGTCCCTGCACGTTCCAACGCAGCCACGCGTTCCTCCAGCTCACCGAGCCGATGTTGCTGGATGCGATCATTCCAGCCATTGTGAACACTCGCGACTACACAAACCGCACACACGATACACAACACCACGTTCAATCCGCCGCCCTTCGAGTTGGACGTCTTCTTCTGCTCGGAGCCACCCATCGCGTACGCGAGCGTTTTTGTGGGCGCGTAGGGCGCCTTGCCGCCTCGTGCGGCATCCGGCTCCATCGAGTTGCACGAGTCAAAAACACCGAAGTGGTTTCAAGCCGCCAAGATGCTGCTTCGTTACTGCATTGCTAACCCACTCACTATGCGCTGCACTATAGACACTGTACTTCTGAATTGCGTCCACCACCGAACCCCAACTTTGAATTGAACTTTCAACTCTTCAACATCCAACTTAAACCCTTAATATGTTTTTGAAAAAAGACAAGATTCTAAATGATATGAGTAAAGAAAATAGATTGCTAATATCCAATATTCTTTTATATTGTGGAAGATGTTGCGCGAGATTTCAGGGTCGGAAAGTTTACGATCGTTGAGCTTTCGTAAACTCGCGAAGCGTGGAGCGGATCGGAATGAGCGCGTCGATGCTCCGAACTGCTGCCCGACTATGGCACGACTGATTCGACGTAGCGACCGGCGAGTTGGGATTTGAAGGCGCCCTCCTCTTCTCTTCTCGCGCGCGCACCGCTGAGGAACGCAGAAAGCAGCCAACAATCAGCAACCAAACATCATCCAAGTTGTTCGCTATCATTATGAGGGTGCTAATGTCAAAAAATTCTGCAACAAAGGTTGGTACTTGTTCTCAAAAATGTCAAAAATCAATTAAGATCCATTTATGATTGCAAAATTTCAAAAAGCTGTAATATTAATAGAAGAGAGAATTCTTTCATAATAAAATATATTTAATATTAACAGTTTTTACAATATAAAATACTAATATAATAATATATACAATGTTAAATGTTAAAATCTTAAATTAATTACAATTAAAAAGATTCAGATTCTGGGCTGATAATCAATTCATCAGATAGTCAAAATGATTACAATTAATCAAAATGAAATATTAGATTATCAGGTTAATTGCTATGATTAACCAATTTGCTAATAAAAATGATAATTATCTATCCATTAATTCTTTCACAAGTCAAGTTAATGGTACCCTTATGGTTCAAAATAAGAACACCAGTTTTGAATTCCAACGGAAGTTTGGTCGATTCGTGCAACGTGAACCTGTACTTACGCAGAAGCATAGCGAGACCAATCTTGTTCTGCATGTACCCAAATCTCATGCCAATGCAGATTCTAGGGCCCTCACCAAAAGGAATGTAAGTGAAGGGTGCTCTCTTGGCGCGGTTCTCTTCGCTAAAACGCTCTGGATCGTAATAATCTGGGTTGGGGTAGTGCTCTGGATCACGATGAATTGCAAAAACAGGGATGTAGACTTTGGTACCCGGATCCAGAACTACTTTGGTGCCGGGAACTTGATATCTGGCACTGCATTCACGGTTGACAACAGTTAATGGAGGGTATTTCCTCAGGGTTTCTGTAATTTGAAGAAAATTATTAGAATCCTCTTGTATTTCTTTATGGGAATTTTTAATGACTCACCATCAATGATTTGTTGAAGATACTTCATCTCATGAACAGCTTCATAGTTCATGCCACCATACTTCTGGATCATCTCTTCAATTTCATCTCTTGCTTTATCTTGGAGTTCTTGATTGTTGGCCAGCTCCATCAAAGAGTAAGACATAGTTTTAGCAGAGGTTTCAAAACCAGCCAGGAAGAAAACAAACGATTGATTGACGATATCCTGCAAGTCGATCAGCGAGTCTGCTGTTGAGTTTCTCATCAATTCAAGCATCAGTTGGAAGAAGTCGTTGCGTGTGACATCATTCTCGTCTCGGTACTTTGCGTTGTCTCTTGCAACGTTGGAGAAAAATATTTCTTCGTCTTTTTCAAATGTAAGACAGCCAAACTTCTTTGCAAAATCAGGACACGCAATGGCAAATGCTCTAATGAGTGCTCTAGCTTTTGTGGGTTCAAACATTTTCTTGGCATAGAATCTAAATTCTGATTCTTCTTCAAAAGCACCGCAATCAATACCAAAAGCAACTGAGCCAATAACATTCAATGCGTATTTGGTTGCCAAATCTTTGATGTCAACCAATGAACCTTCATCAGCGTGTTTCTCCAGGGAGGCGACCAGGGAGTGGCACAATCTTTGACAGTGGAGAACATAATCTTTAGCTTACCAGAAGTGAAAGTCGGAGATAATTTGGTGCGAAGATTCTTCCATTTGTCACCAGCCAGTTGGAACAAGTTACCATGGACGGGTTGATCTTTTTCATTCTGGTACAGTCCCTTACTGTTGAAGTACTGGAAGTCCTTGATGAAGATATTCTTTAAGATGGTTGGATCAATTGGAACATAGACTGGTGAGGTAAGAACGAAAACTCCTCCATGTGGTTGAGAATGGGACTTGAAGTAGTCGTAGAATTTCTTGAATTGCACTCCCACAACATCATGTTCTTTCTTCAGCAGGTTGTCCAAACTACCAAATGGGAATGAGGCAGGGTAACTCATCAATTTCCTGCGGTTCCAGTAAAGGAAACGCAGTTTCAAGTTGAGCAGTAGGAAGGCCGTTGACAGCAGGATCACCACGAATATTAAGACAAACATTTTTACTGTTTGTAGGTTTTTAGAATTAAACCCTTAAAATTTGAGAATACTTTTACAAAAAGTAGTATTAAACTCAGAGGAGACAACTGAGGAATGGTCATTGCTGGTTTCTTGCCGCTATTTATACCAAAATCAAGTTCATTCATAAATTGATATCAGTCGATCGATCTGAAAATTAGCCACTTATCGTAAGCATCAAGTGGTGATATCCTATTGTTCGGATGTAGACAATTGACACTGTCGTGCAATCAGGTGCGTAATTATCGTATTTTTACGGCCGGTTGCGTTTGAAGTGGTTTCGGTGATTTTTGCTAGACTTGAATGAACTTTTGATAGCATCACTCAACTGTAGTGTGGAAATTGAAATTTTTTCCACGTGATACTTATATTTAGAAGCACTTAAAATTTGGTGGTGTCTAGTAACCTTGTCAAATTAGGTTAGTCTACCAAACGTCTGGCTTTAATAGTATTTCATGATCATAATTTTTAGTGTATAACATCATACAATCTTGTTTACAAATATAAAAAGACTCAAAAGTATTCTAAAAATTGCAAACATTCAATTTTTCTGTTAGAACAAGATGAACAAAGTTTAAGAGGTTATACAATTGGCAGCCATCTTGAGATGAAAATAAAGTTGTGTAGCTATATGTATTTTACATAAGGTGACGTTAAATTTACAATTTTTGCAGTTTATTTGAATTCAGATGATTGATATGTCTGTTGTGTGAAATTTAACGACATGATATATCTCCCTATTGTCCATGTGTTACGAATCATTAGTTAAACACTTTTCGCGCCGGTAAAATGCGAAACACAATGATTGGAGTATTCAATTCCGCTTTGCAAAGCAAGCGGTGAACGTTTTAAATATTTACACAATATTCTCATCCTCTTTCTCCATCCAATTTAATCTCTTCTGGTCTGCTCGCATTGTACAGCTTTGTTTAATTCGCCCACACGTGTCTCATAGCTGCAAGACCCTTCTATCCCTAACCTCAATATCACACCAACGCGCCAAATTCTGAATCAGACTGTCCGCTGACCAATGTGAAGACTTGTAAAGTGAACTCAAGCGAGCTGAACCAGATGAAGAGAAAGAGGCGAAAACAAAAAAGGGTTCGGTTCCGTATGGTTAAACAACGGCTTCGGTTACTTGACTGTGTTTCGCGGACAAATAGCACATTGTGCTGTACGCGCGCATATGCATTTTGAATATTTTATGAAGCACTCTCGCGCACGAGGCGCATCCCCTCGCCGCCATAAATTAGAATACATTTTCATATATGCGTGCCTGCGAGCGCAGGTTTGCAGGAGTTGCGATTGCGATACCAATTGTTTGCAGAGCGCGTGAACAGCCAAGTGGCAAACGCGCTTTCAACCTTTAAATCTTAAATCATGCGAAACGAATAATTTTGCTAATGGAAATGCGTGTAGTCGTAAAGTTTATATTTTTAATTACAAACCCAAATTAACACATTCTTTTTAAATTCCAAACGAAATTACTTATTTTAATAACTCATTACGTAGATTTTAGAAGTGCAAAACTAAAATTTTTCTCAAAACTCTATTTTAGTAACGTTCCTTCATTAAATTTTCAATTTTTCTAAAAATAAATATTGATTTACACTTGACATAATTTTTTAACTAAAATAGACCAAGAATGTAAATTTACATTAAAATCGGGTCATATCAAAAGGTAAATTTATGCTTATAAATAAATATTTGGCATGTGCGCACATGTCCCACTTCACATTGCGCATTTGCTACATTATGAAAGATTTTCCTTTAAAAGAAATTGGCCAATTGCATAATTGTCCAAAACTTCCATGTGCAATACACAATGGATTGATTAAGATTACATCATTATTATTTTTCGGTTGTTTGTACACACGCAAATATATTTTTAATCCATTTATCAATGAGTAATACCTAGCCACTTATCGTCATGTGTAAATACGCAAACAAATGTATAAACAATTTATCTTTAAGTTGGTAACAAGATGTTCCGATTGTCAATAAATATCAAATGAAAATCACTTGAAAAGTTACTAGTATCTATGTTGATACTTGAGTGACTAAAGTTTAAAGTTTAATTCTTATGAATAAAATTAGTACAAGTTGGATTTAATGTTGTAGATTTGAATTAGTTTACCATAAGTAATTTTATTATATATTCCTGTAATTAATTTTAGTGAGGCATAAGATAATTTAATCTTTTGAACACTTATCACTTCTTCTTTCCGCATTTCTTCCGTTTTCGTCTGTTTCGCTTTCATTTACTATCTACTCTTAGAATTTCGTTTTTCTTCAGGTTGCGTTGCGTTTGTCGTAGATTAAAGTAATTAATTACCAGGTTATTGCTAGTGCTCATAGCGGGAAGTGGGTATTAAATGCACAACGTAAACATAATATTCGCAGTTTATGAACCAGCTCGGCATCGGCGCAAAGGCGAAATATTAAGCAGCGTAAGTAGCGTTAAATATCGCGTGTTAAAGTGCGAAGCGTCGCTTTCGTTTTCGACTCTCCTGACGATGTGATTAGGCCGAAGGTCGCCTGCCGCCTCCTGCTGCCCCATGCCGCCGCGCGCCATGAGGCTAATGTGCTCGCAGATAATTATTTCGGCAAAAAGCGCAAAATTGAATTATCTCGTAAAACGAAGCAGTGGCGCGACAGACCGGACCAGTTATACAAATTGTTATAACAAAATTATAATTTTATATAAAAAATATTACAAAAATATTAAAAGAATACAGTATCAAAATAGTAATTAATTTCCTAATTTGAAATGAGTTTCAAAAAATTTTGTTTGAAACAAATTTGATTCAAATTATTGCAACAAGCGTTATTTTGATAAGAGAAAAGCGCAAAAAAAGCTTTTAGCAAATTACGTGCGTTTCTTCACCACCATCTCCACCTTTAGCAAAACTTCCCAGCCGCCTCTAGACGCCTTCTGCTACGTTGTGTTGGTTTTTAATATAATAATTTTCTATCGGCAGTAACAATCTTTAAGTAATACCTACCAGGATAGTTTTAGGAAACAAGAAAATATCTTTTCAATCCTGCAAGAAGCCCTCTGAAAACTCCACCAATTGGTAAATATATACAACTACATTTAAACAATTTAATAACAATCAAGCAATTTACCCAATTTTCACTTTATTTAATTTGGAAATGTGACTCCATTGTTTTGTTTAATTTGTTTTGTGTGATTCTATTTCAATTTTGTTTTTTCAAGTTAAAATGTTTATTCCGAATGGAATTCGCATCAATTCCGAGTTGATCGCCGGTCGAAATGACTGCGAGTACTTAAACTGATTGCGAATCTGCATCTCGCCGGCCAAATTTATCGAATCATTTGACTATTCGGGACATTCAAAGCGTAGCAGCGCATCCAGCGCAACATCCGCAATCTAGAGCGTTGCTTCAAACCATCCCAAAACGAAGAGCAGTCGGAGTGGGTCTTTCGTTAAAACACTTCGATTTTGCAATTCGCATATATTCCCAGTCGTGTATTTCCGATTCCCAATTGCTTAGAATTCGACTGCCACTGTGCGAAGAGTACCTACTGCAGTGCAAAGCGCAGTACCGTTTTAAATTTTCAGGATTTACACCGAGGTATCATATCAAGCTGACGTCAATACAAAAGACAAAATAAAACCGGATTTCACTTCATTAAGAAATAAATTTAAAAACATTCTTTGTTCAATTCTAAAAATAATGTTTAGTTTACTTACATTAATGTTGGCCGCATCTTTTGTTAAAAATACTAAAACAATAAACAGATGATAAATAAGATTACCAAAATTCCAGAATCTTAAAAAATTTTATGACGAATTAAATCAATCATCAACACGTCATCACAAACGTTTGCTGTTTTTTTGTCCCAGAAATGCAAGCTTGCATTCCTCGAGCTGAAATTCTGGGTGGAAATGGATGTCATTCATCGCGGCGCTCTCGAACTACAAATACTCAAGCTCGTGAATTCAACGTTCAACATGCGCGTTCAACATAAGCATCAACATCGTCATTATCGAATGGTAAAATTTAACGCACGCACGTTTGCATTCAGTGGCATGTTGTGTCTAGAGACCACGCGCCGCGAGAGGATTAACTGCTGTCAATTTGCACCAGCGATGCAGGATTTTATTTAAAGCTTGGTAACCGTAATATTTGATTTTTAGTCTTTTTTACTGAATAATAATAGCTGGACACACATAAGAAATATACGTATGGCTTTGACAGGCGATTAAAATAATAGATGTTTTTTTTTACAAAACTATGTAGTTTATTTAAATCCACCTCTTTTATGTTTTGTTTTAATTGTTTTCAGATAAAACACAATAAATACGTAATCAACTCCAGACTAAACTGCCACACGATGCGAAAACTGTCACGATTCGCCAGTTCACTCCACAAAACATTGTAAAACCTCATCCGAAAGCAATCAATTTGTATTTTTATTGGGCGCTTTTTGTACGCACACGCTTTTATATCGTTCATTCACGTTTTTTGCGCCGTCCCGCTGCCGAAATTCGTAAATTGCTAAAACATTCGAGTTCGAGCGCGAGTTTGCGAGCTTCGTCGCCGGATGCATCTGATGACCAGCAGCGTGTCGACGTAAATTCGGCGACAATCGCCGTTTATTTAATAAAAAAGCGACGGCGCGGGCGGTTTTTGCGTGTCTGTTTTATTGGTCGATCGATGACCTAACAATCCAAACACACCGCCATCGTCGGTGGTGCGAACTTCACGTGAGGACACAACGAGTCGGGCGTAATAAATTCCAGCCGAAATGGGCTGGCAACATATTGCCAGACTGGCGACGAAGGAAAATTCGGCGCGTAGCTTAAAGACGAATAAAGAATGATGAAGAATACGAAGAAAAAACCGAAAGCGATGACATTAAAACGCTGTTTTCGGTCATTTTATGCGGATTTATATCGATAATAGTGAAGGAAAGTGTAAGAAAGCATAAAATATCACTAAGATATGAATTTTGCAAAAAAAATTGACGTTTCATTATATTCTATAATAAAAATGCTTAAAATTATCCAAAAATACATAAAATTCACT